TTTCCAGTTGTACTGGGTCTGGCAGGGATGGAGTTCTTTCTTCACAGGAGTCTGTATGGTGGTGTATTCTGAATTTGTGGCTAAAATAGTGCCCATAACACACTGATGTTTTAGCTATTGCTGATCAGTGCTTGCACAGCATCAAGGCTTTCGTTTTTTCCCACTCATCTCCTGCTGGCAGTGAGCGGGCTGGGGATAAGCGAGAACTTGAGAGTGGGAGAACCACTGGCTGTGTCCCAGCTGGTTGACCCAACCTGGCCAAAAGGATATTCCATACCATATAATGTCATGCTTGGCAATAAAAACTGTGATAGAGGAAGAAGGGTGGGGAAGGGGTTGGCTTCCAAGGTGGCTATTGAGAGACAATTTCATCAAATTAGGGGAGGAGGTATTTTTTGGTCAAATCGGACACCTACTATCCTCCCATGTGGAAATATAATTTGTTGAAGTATAAAGTCACAGTGATCTGTGAGGCTACACTAAGGCAAACCACACTTGACTTAACTTTTTATTTCATCTTAAAACAAAGCCACCTCTGTGTGCACACATGCCAGTAGCTAAGATGGGAGAAAGAAGGTGGGGGAGAGGGGCCAAACAAAATCTAACTTTCAGAACAAATTAATCATTTTCAGTGAACCTGAGTGAGTTTGGGATTTTCTGTCCTTGCTTTTTTTTTGTTTGTTTAGGGACTTAAAAATCCTACTCAGGAAATGAACATCTATGTTTTTATGAAGGACATCACATTATAATCTCTGTTCCTTCATGTAATGCAAATTCTGAGAAACTCAACTTTTTGTTAAGCCAATAAAATTCAAAATAATTGACTTATACTGTAGTGCTAATAACAGCTGAAATGCCAGGATTAGGATTACAGATGGAAGAAATAGTCTGCAAGTTTGACTGAAAAGATGCTGCAAACTAGCTGAAATAAAATACAGATTTAAAAGAGAAAGAAAATTAGAAGAAAAATAATCTCTGCTTAGTGTCTGTGAGACTGAACACTGAAAAAATTAAAGGCTGTGAAGAAAAGGAGGAGTAAAAAATTAATAGAATTAGTTGAGACAACAGTGAGAAAAGGATCAAAAAGGAAAGGGAACCAGAAAAGAGAGGATGAAAAGAAATTGTAAGGGTGGCTAAGAAAAAAGCAGAATTGAAACTGATGAAGAGAGATGTAAGATGATGAAAATCACCTACGCTATCAGAAATAGTGCTACTGTTTAGTCACAGTCCAGCAACAAGAAACACAAGTTTGAGGCAAAGTAATACAAACCCATCTAAAGTCAAAGATGAGTAGTAAATTATTCCTGTAGGGTTGTTTTGGATAATAAGGAATGACCCTTAGTACATCCCTAAAAGAGAACCCCTCCGTGTTCCCTTCCTTACTGCAGGGCCCCACTCCTTTGCTTTGTGTGCTACAGCCCTCACATCAAAGGTTGAAAAATGCTGAAATTTCACTGAGAGACCTTTCAATGGTATTTCCAAGCCAATTTTTGCTCAGCAAAGAGGCTCTAAAAGTGTTAGCTTTGTCAGCCCTTATTAGTCCATTTTTTGCCCAGCAGAGCATGCACTGCGTACGAATCTGCTTAGAAGGAGACACAAATAGACGCTGCAGCATAGGAAAGAAGGGGAAAAGTCTTCCGATTCACTGCAACAGAAGACACAAACGTTACAGCTAGGCTTACGGTAGAATATATATGTATATTCTTTTCCCCACTCTGGTTACTTCCACTTTCCAGTGTGGTTTCAAATTACACGATTCCTCTTTAACTTATTAATCCATTCCACTCAGCTATTGATCTCTACCTAGCAAGTGTTACCTTATGAAAATCAATAAGATCTGTCAGTGTTGCATGTCGGTTCGGATCTACCCCCAAGAAGCTGTAGAAATCCCCAGAAGCATCAACCAGAAAGTGTTTGAACCCACTTTGCTGGCGATAAGACAATGCGTAGCCCCAGATCTTCTCACTGACTCGCACCAGGAACGTTCCTTCAGATTTATTCATCAATAACTCTTCGGCCTCCTGGCGGCTGATAATACCTGACAAGAAGAAAACCTATGGTTATGCAGATAACAGGTCTGTCAGAGTAAATCAAATGCAACAAATGAAGAGCAGAAATGAAATTAAAATGGCGTAACTTCTCAAGACTGAAATGTTTACAGGAGGAGACGGGGCTATGGAGACTACGTTTATGATATTTGCTTCTGCAGGACAGCTATAAGATTTTTTGATGGAGTCGGGTGGGACATGCTTTTTTATTATCTGATTAAGAATTGCTTTTTCCCATCCTTACTGCTGTTTCAAAGGAACTTCAAAAACACAGGTGGGCTCTCAGACAAGTGAATTCTGCACAAGCGATCATTTAGCAGATCAGCATGGTTTGGCATTGCAATGTGGATTTGCACACATTGCTGATATTTGCAATCGTGTCAGGAGGTGTGGGCTCGAGTGGTCAGTGAGGTGGATTGAGAACTGGCTGAATGGCAGAACTCAGAGGCTTGTTGTCATCAGTGGCACAAAGTCCAGTTGGAGGCCGGTAACTAGTGGTGTCCCCCAGGGGTCAGTACTGGACCCAGTCTTGTTTAACTTCTTCACCAACGACCTGGATGAAGAGTTAAAATGTACCCTCAGTAAGTTTGCTGATGACACCAAACTGGGAGGTGTGGTGGATACACCAGAAGGCTGTGCTGCCATTCAGCGAAACCTGGACAGGCTGGAGAGTTGGGCAGAGAGGAACCTGATGAGGTTCAACAAGGGCAAGCGCAGGGTCCTGCACCTGGGGAGGAACAATCCCATGCACCAGTACAGGCTTGGGGTGGACCTGCTGGAGAGCAGCTCTGCAGAGAGGGACCTGGGCGTCCTGGTGGACGACAGGTTGACCATG